CCATTTTAGCCTTCTTTTTCATGCTGCAATAATGAGTTTGAGTAGCTTCATTAAGTACAATTATTATTCAGAGGGGCACACCGTTTAAACTGGATATTGAAGTACTCACTTTTTAACAGCTAGCATGGCAGGTTAGGATATGTAATGGTAAAAAGGCATCTTCTTTTGCTCATGATTAAGAAAAATCATCATCTAAGCGGTTAAACGTCAGCCAGTTTTGAGCTTTCTGCTACAAAGCACAGCAAGAGACCCAATGCAGCAGTCTGCAGTACACACAGATACAAAATTTGAAATGGAATGTTCAAATACATATTTCATATTACCCAGATTTGCTGAAAACCCACAATTTTAGCTAGAGGCAGTGAGGTCTGCAGCAATCATCCTCTCTGGTAACAAGGCCTATTTATAAAAGTTTTTGCACAGAGGTCTTCAGTGTTTTAACTGATGTAAGACAGTTTGATCTACGGCTACGGACGAGACCCAATTCACCCGGGCAGTTAATTTCCGCTGCTGTCTTTAGACACACACAAGGAGTGTTAGCGAGCCAGAAAAATTGTTCAGATAGCCTTTCCCGAGGGGCTTTTAAACAATGTGCCAGCGACACGTCCCTCTTCAAACAAAGGTGCAGCTGTCCTGCCGTGGCTGGGAGAGCACGTAGGAACTTGGGACTGAAGAGTTCCTCGTTACTCGCCCCTACGACCAAACATTCATCTGCCAAGTGACAGAGAAGGAGCCGCAGCTCAGAGCCTGGAGCACCTCGTTAGGGGACTGCAAGTCCCACAGCAGCCGAAACGTCGGATACAGCTGAAGTTGGGACCGGGACCCTCTAAGTTAACACTTCTGCACCAGGTGCAAGTGCACTCAGTGGGTGTCGAGTGGCCTGGTCCTCTGTGTATCATTTTGATGAGTTAAGGTTTGAGACAGTTTTTTAAAAGAGGGATTTAAACTGTTTACACGCTGCAAGGAAGCTCATTCCTACAGACAGCTTTCTGCAATACTGAACAAACTCAGCTGTGCCTTTGAGAGATGTGCAAGTTTCAGGAGATTCATAAAGACATGGTGTTTCCAGATGTCCTTCCATTTTTTAAAAAGAGTTATTTATATATACAGCAGTTATTCTGTTATGTTTAGAAAAGGAATCTACGCTTAGCAGTATCTTGTCTGTTATTAAAATTGGGCTCCACACTTGGATATGTAAAGACAGAGTCTCTAGGTGGGTTTTCTTATTTTAAAATTAAACAGAACAAACAGAATTTTGTTTTGGTCCCCCACAAATAAGCTGATGTTATGTTCATTAGCATCTGGAGAAGCAGACCAGCCTGGATTAAGCACATAGCATCAGTCTGGGTACCCGTCAAGCCTCACCGGCCTTTTGCTGGAGGACATTCAGTAAACTTTGTGGTTTTGTATGGAGTTGGATAAGGATGACCTACAACCACCACTGCACGAAGCTCCCCTAACACTTTCTACAAACAGCGGGGATGGATGCGTCACCCATGATAGGTGCCAGCCAGATTTGTTGAAGGGGAAGCCCCTACGAGGGCACTCAGGAGTGTGAAGCACACGTCGTCCTTTCTGCTGATGAACAATCGTTGTTGATACCACTGGGCTTTACCACCTGCCCTGTTTGCAGCTGCAGCGTTTGCTTCCATCTCCCACGCACCATCCTCTCTCTTGCACGCAAGCAGGGCTACCCCAACAGCTTATTCATTGTTTTCCTTGCTTTGCCATGGCATAATGGAGCTGGCTGCCAAGCCAGCCGCAGTCCTCTAGCCTTTTCATAAACCACTAGATCCAATTTACAGAAGCCCTGGCTCTTCCCTGCTGTAATCCTGGAGGATGTGCACCGCAGCTCCTTTCAGCTGGGGTACAATTCCCTTTTCTTGAGCCGTATGCCATGAATGTGCCTCTGTCTTCTGTGCCTTGCCAACAGCTTCTGCACAGCCCAGCGCTGGATGGATCTAGTTGTTCAGTGCCTTATCGCTGAGGCAATCTTTTCCTCCTATGGAAAGTGAGAATGAAATTGCCTGAATTAAGCAATTATAGTAGCCTTGAAGGATAAAGCTTCCTTTCTACTTTCAGCTGGTTTTGTAGTAAGACTGCCATAATTGCGTTTTTCTCCTGTGTTTACTGGCATAGGAAAGAATGTGTGATTGGGATTTTATGGTACTTACAGCTTGATATTTTTCCCATGAACTATTCAAATGAATCACTCTTGGATTTTAGCACCTTCTTCCCACTTCTCTGCGGGGTTAGGGACAGTCAGAACAGAGAAAATGCTCCCTTGACCATGGAGTTTAAGAGTTGATGATCTTAGAGGGCAGACTCTTGTCAGCACTGGCACATCATCATCTCAGCAGGTCCAAGGTCCAGCCCTTCGGGTGATCTGTGGTCCCTTTTGGTTAGGAGGGAGCACAGCTGTGGAGAAGGAAAACATGTGAGTCATGATCGGAGGGCTGCAGGAGCTGCAGTTCTCCCTTCCTCCAGCCAAGCCCAGCCCTCTTCTCGTCAAAATATTCAGAGTTTAGTTTTGGGAGGACAAAAGCTGTCAGACACAATGCTCCACCAGCTTTTCAGATGGAATGCTCTATTCTTTCCTTAAAGCTGTCATCAGAGGACGTTCTTCTCTTGGCAGTGAGCAGCCTGACTTACAGCTCTTTTACTGATATTTTAGCATCCTGTTGTGACTTGCTATTAAAAATTCTACAAATCATGGAGGTAGCAGTGAAGGGACGGTTGGGATTTTACCTGGCTGTTTTCCTCCTGTTTGATCATTGTGTGAGCTTGAAGAAATTGTGTGATCTATCTGGACCTCCAAGTACCTGCAAAACAGGGATGATATCTATAGAGTGACACAGAGAGAGTGCTTGCTGCACCTCAGTATGTGTAATGCACCTTCCTGAAGTAATTATTGCATCCAGGGGAAACTCTGAAAGGGCAAATCCTGACATTTGGGCTCTTAGCAGATCTGAAACCTCATTGCCCACCATGTAGATAAAACCTGCATAGTACTGTTTTCAAGCAGTAGCCAGGGCGAAGCATTGATAAAATTAATTGTAGGTTTCTGTAGCTTTCCTTTTTGTGTAAAATGCACAGAGGAGACGTTTCAGGCATTACTGTAGTGTTAATCCTTCGTGTTTCCCATAATTTGTATAATCCTGTATTGCCCTTGGCGTGTATGCAAGCCTCCTATAAAGCTTCTCTCTTTAGAAGTTTCATGAACAAGTGAAAAGAAGCATCTTGCTTGGCAGGCAAGGCTTGAGAATTTACTCTCTGACTTTTCACATAACAATTGTTTATACATATCAGTATCTTTAAAAGCAGCATACTTACCTTTGAGAGGATTAACATTGTTCTTCCCTCCATTCTTCCTAACGTGTGCACAACAGGACTTCAGCTGATCAAAGCTACAAGTAGATAACTTTGAAGAGGGGACAATAAACCATCGTGGCTTTGTTTTCCCTTAAGATAATAAACCTCTCAATAATCCTGAAGCTCTGTTTCATCGCAAAGACACAGCACTTGAATTTCTGAAGTATTTCAGTGATGTTTTTTCTTACTTGGGTTTGTCAAGCAGCCTAATTGCTCTAGGGAGCTTTTCCACATTTTGAGGCAGAGGGACTGTTTCTCCCCAGATCATGACAAACTAGTTCTGCTGTGTAACTGCTCTTGCAGCCTTAATTAGCAGTGTTTTTGTGTGTTCTCATGCAAAGGAGGCGGTTGGCTGCAACTATCTTGAAAGCCTTTAGCAGTCTGGAAAGAACAAATTACCTGAGATGTAATTTCTGTTGCACTACTGGTTATCCAGAGTTTGTAAGAGCAAACTAGCTCAGCCACTTCTCAGGTTTTTCCCTGCTGTGGTCTCATTGTACAACAGAGTGTCCCCAGGCTGCCCCATTGGGAAGAGCTACCATCTAGCAGTAGTAGCCATGGATGATACCCAGATACTCTGGAGCTGTGGTTAAACATTCCTGAAATATTTAGGGAAAGCAGCACCATTTTGTCAGAAGTTCTTATGCTTAATTGGTGTGAGCACAGTGCTTACTTTGTCCAAGTCTGTTTTATTGTGTGTCCATGAAAAATTATGTTGATCATCAATTCCTTAATAAAACAAAAGAAACAAAAGATTATTGAGGAGCGTTAACTGAGGGTTCAGCAATTTATCAAGGGCGTACAACATGCTGCGAATCAGCTGACTATCAGTATCTTAAATTCTTAATCTTATCTTAAAGAAGTAGAAGCTCCCGACTCTTGGCCCTGGTACGTGCTGTCGAAGTCTTCCCATGTACCATCTTACATTGCTCACAGGTGTAAAGGCAAGGGATGAGCTTTCATATGTTAATGACTGCATTGTCAAAGTCTTACCACAGACAAGGCTTCTGCCGAAAAACTCTTACCTTATCCTATGCTCCATATTAACACTTGCTGGTGTTGGTTTAACTTATCAGCTCAGATGGGATGGCTTGTGATAGTTCCTATGTGCAATGTGATAGTTCAGCATTATGCTTCTACGTCTTAATGAAAGCCCACGGTCTTCAGACATTCAGGTTTAGTAAATGATTTAAATATATTACCGCTGGATACACAGAGCAGGTAAATGGATCAAAAAAGGGTGGATATTTTTTAAGGTTATTTATAGGAAAATCCTTTGTGTTACTTTTTGTTTTCCTTAGATTTTCTCAAGCAGACCACGTATGAAGTCGAGGCATTCTTAGAAGCCATTCAGTTCTTCCGTCAGGAGAAAGGCCACTATGGGACATGGGAAATGATAACTGGCAATGAAAAAGAGGTAAAAGAATATCTTCCCGATTTTTTTTTTTGGCTTTGCATATGGCAGCTAATAATGAAGGTTGTAAAGCCTCTTGGGAAAAATGGTATTTTTAAAAGGAAAATCAAGTAGGTAGAAATACCCAAGATTCCAAGATACTTCTTACTGATATGTACGTGACAGTTCTTTTTTAATAAACCCCATCTTGATTTTTTTTTTACTAAAAAATGAAAGAAAGTGTGCTGTGAACTAAAGTTGTTGTGTTGTGTTGGAATGTAGGGATAACCACATTTCCACAAAAGGCTGATACATCTACTTGAATTTTATGCCAAGGGCTCAATTGGTGAATAAATGCTGTGTCTAAAACAAGGCACTTGCTAACGTCTTGCTACCACTTTTGCTGCTGTTTATAGTTTTGGTAAATCAGTGAGACCAAAAGCAACACACACCAAACTCAGACCCCGCAGTTTGTATGCAGCAGACACTCGCTGTCAGCTGCCTTGGGTTGTGCTCTGTTTTTCTATCTTTCCTGACAGCTATTTTGCAGGTAAGAGATATTTTTTTTCTTGTTGCTACTACCTTGGCTACTAAACACAACAGTTTCCCATTGCTTGTCCTATAATGCCTCCAGCTGCCACCACAGATCAGGCTTTATGAAGAACAGAATAGCAGCTAAACATAAATTTTGAAGAATCTCTTCATTTTGCTTTTCCCCATTCTTTGGGAATGAAGCTTTTAGTCCTGAGTGGATAAACTAGTAGACCTATTTCTTGTGCCAGACTTCTGAAACAGAGTCTTGCATGGTAACAGTCACACTTAAACGCCAAAGATCTGTGTACTTCAGTTCTTCAGAAAGGAGGTGCTAAGCTCAGGGTCTGGGTTCATATTTGGGCACCCGAGTGAGCAGCTTTGGAGCGCTGGTGGTAGCTGAAGTAATGCCACTGATCCCTCTGGCATCACACCACATGTAGTTTATTGTAATTGAGATGTTATTTGGGCCCTGATCAACAATTTTTTTTCCAAAGCATGGAGCACTCAGCAGCAAATATTTACTGTAGTACCAGCTGCTGGGTGTTTTCCTTGATGAAATCTGCCTGCCTTTTGGGAAAACAGAAAAAAGCCTGTAGGAGAGTTCATGATCCAGGGTTTTGTTTTAAGAAACCAGCTTATTCTTTTAGCAGAAGTCTACCTTGGAAATGCTGAAAAATGTGGAAACTGGAGAAGAATCTATCATTAATGTCTTTCCCAGTGCCTTCATGTCAGGGATTGAAGTTTCCTGCTAACAACTGATAATAAATTCCTCAATACAAGGAATTCCATCCTTCCAGTGGAGCGAATGAGGGTTTTGCTCTTCTCCCCTCCTCCCTCAAGTTATGGAGCTGTTATAGTGCTAGTTTCATTTCATGTTTTATTTTTCCTATTGCTTGCCAACTACTTACTCATAACCCATATACCTCAAGAGAACTGTAATCAGAAGACATCCAGACTAGTTATGCTATTATCTTCTAGTAATAACTCATTCTGTAAGTATAGTGTGTTCTCATGCCTGCTTTGACCAAATATAATAATTATTTCAGGCAAATATCCAAGCTAAGTGAATGGTTTGGAACAAGCAAGCTATAATTTGTTGCTGTAAAAATCTCTGCAGAACGCCAATAATTCCTTGACATTCATTTATAACGACAGAGTCTCCGCAGCATTAGCTCACGCAGTTCTGCCTCGGTACTGCAACATGGATGTAATATTAGCAAGTACCCAGTCACTCGGCTGAAGACCTGCTAATTTTTCCTTTTGTGTCCTAAAAGTTCCTTTTCCTGGTTTTTTGTTCTTTTTTATTTCTAATGTTTCATTGCTAACAAAGGATAAATTCAGTTGTAGATGGTATTTCTGTGGGTAAGTGCTGAAATCCAGGGTTAAAACAAGGAAATTTATGACAACGCTTGTTATAAGCAACAGTACAGCCACATACCAAGAGCACTACAACACACCAGTTTTATACTAGAATAACTCCATTGATCAGCACTACATGAATGTAGAAATAACATATTGGTAAATCAAGGATAGCTGAATAAGGAATTAAAAAACCCCAAACCCTTACAGTGCACCTTTCAGTGCAGAAATATAAAGCCAATCCAGCATTCCTAAAAATGTTTCCAGAGAGCTCAAGTTCTTCAGAAGGTTTAATCCGTTGTCACGTTTATTATTTGGTCTGTGGTGCTCCAGTTTGGGTTATTCATGAGATTTTTTTTAAGTGGCTCATTACTTTAGGAGCTGAATTAGTCAATTGGTTTTGACAGGTATTTGAGTCAGCATAGCTGAATTTGAGTGGCACTGTGGCATAATCTATAAGTACTTAAGTTATATGAAACAACAAAAATAGGATATTGCATATTATATTAGGGGTGTATTAATAAGTAGGGTATTGTGTGTTATATTTCTGTAGGGGCTGTCTTACACCCGGGGCATAGAGTCACAGCCCTGTCTTACTTTTGCTGTCTAAATTCCTGCCGTTTCCCTACCGTGTTGTTGGCGCATGCCTAAAACCCGCTCGGGCAGCTGTACTAGATGAGGTTGAATGTCGCGACGCACTGGCACTCCAAGCAAAATGTAAAGTTGAGCAGTGTTTTTGCACTCTCTATCGGCTCAGCCAGCGGCTGGGTGCATCAAGGCAGTGATCCTTGAATGAGCACTGTGCCGGGCTGTTGTTGGAGCAAGGGTTCAAAACCACATCACTTAGGAAAAGCTCTGTTCAGGCCCCACTGGAGGGGAAGGAGGACTACGTACTTTGTTTGTGAGACTTTCTGAAACCGTTGAGCAAGCTAGTAATCCTTTACGCAGACTAAATGAGAAATGTAGAGAACCATAAGATGCATTATGTCTGCTTTTTTAAAGGGTTACTCTGTCTCTCTCTGATTTGCCAGGGTATCCACTGCACTTCAAAGCTTTCAAGAGGCTGTGGACAACCTCATATATGCTGTACAGTCAGGACAGATAAAAAACCTTCGTAATAGGGTTTTGTGCCATTCTGTACAGCACATGCACGGTATTATTGCCTCTGTCATCACAGATTGGCAGCCGTGCATCTGTAACCATGGGCCAGTACAAACATACCTGGGCAAGATCTATGAACAGAAAACGAATGTGTCCAGAAATAAAAGATGTCCCTCCTTCCTCTGAATCATGAGGATGAGTAAAGACTGAACCAAATATGGGACTGAAGTCTTTAGTTCAAAATCGAGATGCTTGAAGTAGAGAAAGTCAAGAATCCAGCATATATCCCCAGCACTGATAGATGCCTCCATAGAAAATGTGTTCAGAGACTTGAGATCACAAAGAAATAGAAATAGGGCAGGTCCCATTATGAACTGCCTCCCTCTGCTTGCATAGTCTATCCTGTTGGCCAACAGCAAGAGGGAAGCACGGGAGGAAGAGAGGTCTTGCAGCTTTCTCAGGCCAGAGATATGATGTCCATAAGTAAAAAAATTGAGAGGAAAGCCTAGACGCTCAAAACCGGATGCATGCCTGTAACTCTGTGTGTTTCTTGCCAGCTTGGTGCATCCAAGTGAGATGGGCAAGAAAGAAGTTGTAGTTCAAATCTAGGCAGAGGAGGTGCAAAGTCTGACAGAGTGGGTGATTCTGAAGAAAACTTCTGAAATGGGTGCCAGTGAATGAAACCAAGAATCCGTCTCACACTGTTTCATTCTTTCTGTATTGAAGAAGCCAGACTTTGATGCTTCTTCTGTACAAAGTGGAGTTACACTATCAAGAGAACCACAAAACCAGAGAATAATGTAGTTAAAAGGGGATCTGTGGAGGTTATCTGGCCCAATCCCCCACCCAAAGCAAAACCAACTTTTAGGGACTTTGTGCAGTTGAGTTCTGAAGATATCCAAGATTGGAGATCGCATGACTTGTTCCCATGACTGCCTTCATGGTGAAAAATATTTCTTAATACCTGATTACCATTTCCTTTGTTGCTACTTGTAGCCGTTGCCACCTTCCTTTCCCTGTGCATTTCCAAGAAAAGTCTGGCTCTGTCTGCCCAACATCCTCCATTATGTAGTTGTAGTTGTTGGGTCTCCCCAGAGCCTTACCAGCTTAAGACTGAGCAAACCCAGTTCCCTCCACCTCTCCTCACATCATGTGCTCTGTCCCCTGACCATCTTGGTGGCCTCTGCCGGACTCATTCCAGTGTGTTAAGATCTGTCTTGTACTGGGGAGCCCAAAACTGGACAGCGCTTCAGATATGGTCTAACAAGTGCTGAACAGCGGGGAACGTTCTCCTCCCTCAACCTGCTGTTGTCCTTTGCTGCAAGGGCACCCTGCAGACCCATGTTAAATTTCTTGTCCCCCAGGATGCCCAAGTCCTTTTCTGCAAAACTGCTTTCCAGCCCATTGTTGCCAGCCTATACTGGTGCACAGGTTTGTTCCATTCCAGATGTTGGACTATACATTTGCTTTTGCTGAACTTCATGAGGTTTTTTGTCCACTCGTTTCTTCAGCCCGTCTAGGTGCCTCTGAATAGCAGCCTTGCTTGCCAGCGTATTGACCACTCCCCCAAATTGGTATCATCTGTATTCCCAGTCTGAGGACTTTTCTTTCTAATTGGAACCATCTGCAAGACCCAACTGCCAGTCAGATGCTGGGATCAGAGAGGGTGATGCATCTCTTCTACAACCACTCAACCCTGTTTCAAAGTGAAAATGTTCCTGAGGGAGAAAAGTACTCAGTGTCAATTTAGAAAAATACAGCAATGATGGAACCAACAACGTGCTTCAGAAATAATCAAAAAATGGGGCAATGATACCTTTTCCTCGGTTTTCCTACATTCCATCATGAACGCTTGATGTGTAGAAGCCCCTTTGATGCTTTTCTTCCCCCTGCCTTTCTGCTGTGATGCACCTTCATCACAGAATACCTCCTTAGCTTATATATTTTTTATTCAAGAATCTGGAGGTGTTGGGAGGAGACTTTAACATATATGAATTCTACAATGTGAAAATTTTACTGGTTTTGGACCAGTATAGTTGTCTTTTATTGACAAAAGTAATTGCTTGAAAAGTTTTTCACAAACTCCAACAGTTATTTATTTTACCTCTTTACCAGGATTAGGCTGGAGCTAATGAATATTTTGGATCATGTTACATATTTTAAAAAAAAAATCAGATAGAGTAGAATTATTTGATTCACAGATTACCCACACTTCTGGATTCCATTTCTGTCCTGTATCCTGTTTTTCCTGGGCTTTCCTTCTTTTCTTGTTTGAATTATGAAGTTGGTGCTCACCCACAAAAGTGCTAGAGATCCACACTGGTACAGTCATATATATTTTTTTTTGCCAGTTACCTTCCTATTAGAAGCATCCTTTGTCTGATGACTCGCTAGAACAATTTGTCCTTGATGATACTTCCTCTGGGAGAGTGTGAGTGTCTCAGAACAAGGTCAGTTTGGGGAAGCAGCAGTCAGCAAACCAACTTTTCAAATGTTTTTGATCTGGTTTCTCAGTTGATATCAATCATTTTAGCTCCACCAATTTGCACATGGCAATTTCATAACAGCATGCAGTACATTTTAACGGGCATCTTAGTTGAGCATCTTAGTTCATCTGTTGTCAGTTGTTGCATGGTTTCTCAAAGTCTTTTGTTGAAAAATGCTTCAGATGAAATGCATAGAAGTTCCTGCAGGCATACCTAATATTTTAAAACCAGTCCTCCCAGCAACCTGGGATAGCTAAGCCGTTGTGTATTTGAGGTTACCTGTGTTTGCACATCATTCTGTGATGCAAGTGCTCAGTTTTCAGATGAAGAACAGTGTGTGAACATGTCATTTTAATCTTCTGTCCATGTAGATCCTGAGCAACCTTGTGATGGTGGAACTCCTGCCTAACCTTCAGACGATGATCCTGCCTAAAATGAAAGGAAAGAGGAATGATAGGAAGCGGGCCTGGTTTGGTGTAAGTACTGATATTTTCAGAGTAGTTGTTTCTCGTAGCAGTTGTCCGTGTGTGCTGATTCTCATCACTGCTTCTTAATTTAATTTGGGTTTAGATTGTAGAAGAAACTTACGGCTTAGTCCAGCAGCAGGTGTCAGAAGGATTAAGTACCTTGAAAGAAGAATGCAGAGATTTTGCAAAAACTCTTGAAGGAACCATTCGCTCGGACATGGATCAGATTCTGAACTCCAAGAACTTCTTAGCTGGAAAAATCAAAGGTTAGTGGAGGAACAGCTGTGTTGTGGATCCATTTTTGTAATGTTTCCCATTGTGTTGCTCAAATTACCAGATGTTATTGTTTTGACATCCTCATGTGTTTTGAAAAATCCAACTGGAGACATGAATTTTCAGAAAACAAATGCTTTGAGCCTCTGCTGCCTTTGATGGGAACTGACACCTGTGGCCGCTGTGCCTGTGAAAATACCAGGTCTTCTCAGGTTGGATCTAGAGCTGACAGGTTTTGAGTATCCTGATTGGAGTTGCTCATTCTGCTTTTGTTTTCACCTGGACAGCCTTATGTAAGGAAGATACAGGTCACAGGAGCATAATTAAAAGTGTAGTGGTTTTGGCCTGATGTCTAGGAATGCGCCATAAAACCAGGTTCTGGTTATGTGGCAAATTCGTAGGCTACCAAAGAATACTTAAACCAAAGGGTTTCTTAGGTGGTTTTAAACTAATGTGAAGTAATTGTAATTTTGCTATGAATACAAAAATGAGTGTAAAAAGCAGGCAAAACATTAGTTGATGTTGCTTAAGCTAGCACATAAATAAATAGCTGATAATTTAGGAGCTGTTTTGATAAAACTCAGGATGTTCTGTTGATACTCTCACATACCAGACTAGGCTGCTTTCAGTGAACTGTAGAGTACCAAGCTCGGACACCTCCTTACAGAGTGACCGTGACCACGCTCTGTGCAGACCTCCCAGCGTGTATCGGTACGGACAGAGCTACCCTTTCCTCGGCTCTCACAGTGCCCCCAAGCTGCTGTTTGGTTAGGTGGGGCATGGGAAAAGATGTTTCATTGTCACTCCGAAATCTATAAACTCTCCTTTCATCACCCTCATCATCTTTGCGGAGGTGTGACTCCAGGGGAAAATACAGAGGCATTTAATTCATTGTAAAGTAGATCAGATTACTTTTTTCACTATATCTCTTAGTAGCCTAAATGCAACCGTTGTATTGTCTGGCACTCCAGCCACCGTTTCTGAGCCTGCCCAGAAGTGCTGCACAGAAAATATCCAGCCATTTCTCGCATCCATATTGGAGGAGCTCATGGGTCCAGTGAGTTCTGGATTCACTGAAGTCCGCTCACTTTTTGATAAAGAAGTTAATGAAATCATCCAGGACTTCCAGAAGACAAATGATATCATGAAGCTAAAGGAGGTAAGGCAAAAATATATTGGGAGCCTTTTAACATTAGCACAAGGACAAGCAGTATTTGCTTTCCAAGGTGGTAGTATCTTAGCACTCGGTTTAGTCATTTAGAAAGTCTGTGGTATTTGTGCAACTACAGTGTAGATAACAGGATTTGTTTTAGGGTCACTGTTACATTCTCTATTAAAAATTCATCTCTGGTTGCTTTCTCCTGAAATCTGTTTTGCCTCCACTGAAACACAGAATGTGGATCAGCTTGTGAACCTACCATTCAACTCTGTGAAAATGGAGCCTTGCTATCTGAAAGTAAACCTCCTTCAGGAGCTCCTTCAAGACCTCAAGAGTCGCTTCAAAGTCTATCACATTGATTTTGTGATTCAGAGGACACAGAACTTCATGCAAGAGGTACTGTAAGATCCAGTTTTTCCTCCTGTGAGAACAGGTTAGGTTTGCCCTTCTAATCTGCTTCAAAGTAATCTTGATAAAAAGCTGCGCAAGAGTCACAGAATATATCTCGATCAAAGTACAGATAACAAAACCTAGGAAAATCACAGCTAGAAACCGTTTCACATTTCTAGTTGTGAGGTTGCATGTGCATGAGTCTTTCAGTAAGGCATAGCAGTTTTGGATGGATCATCTCTTCCTCTGAACCTTGATGTTCTGAATTCTCAGTGTCTCAGCACCTGAGAGAGTTGTGCTTGTACTGACAGGGTGGCTAAAATCTGCCTGATTTCCATTCTCAAGGGTTGATTTTTCAGGAAGGATCTTAATTATATTTTACCAAAATGGAACATCTCCTTCTTGGTAGTTTATTTTCTCATGAATATAAAGTAAGGCGATTAATGTTAGAAATTGTCAATTACTTGGACACAGATGACGTCTCAGGATGTAGCTGCAGGTAGGTAGTTAAACCAACTTCACTTCTCATGGGAATAGTTCAAGTGACTACATCATTTCAGATGAAAAATGAACTCCACCTCTTTTTCCCCTCTAGTGTATATTGGTATAGGCTATAATTTTGCTTTGCTTTTATTTCTTCTGGGTGCCTGGCCAGAAATCTACTAGGAGCTGGCCAGTAGACTTCTTTCGATTGCTAGATCACAAGGCAGATTTGGCCTTGTGGCTCTGTGTTGAATCCTGTGATTTTAATGCGTAGTTGAGAACCTGAATAATCCAGTTGGTAATCTTGTGAAATGGAGCTGGTCCAGTTCCGTGGAGTTAGAGTTATGAATATGGGAAGTGAGTCTCTAGCATGGTGCTGGGATAGGGTTTTCCTAAAAACAGCTCTTATATGTACAACCATGATCAACAGCCAAAGAATTATTCAGAAATAAAAAATGATTTCATGCCTGGGTCTTTCAGGGGGGACCATTCCAAAATGCTGCCAAATAAAATGCCTTTTGGTAAGTGAAGACCATGAGTCAAGACAAAGTAGTAAACAGAAAATACATCCCATACAAACCAAGTGTTTGTGGTTTTTTTTTTGCTGAACAGAACATGAGTCAAAATTCACAATAAAGAAGTTAAATTTGTTTGTTTGTTTCTTTAAGTGTACAGGTTATTCTAAAAATGCTGTTATTGTTTTTCTTTAAAAGGCTGGTATCTAAAAATGCTATTGTTGCTTCTCTCTTTAAAAAGCTGGTATTTTTCTTATAAAAATAGTAAGTAGTTTCACTTTGTGTCCATGAACACTTATTTTATTAACGAGTAAGGTCAGACATGTCTGAGCTCGCGTGGTCTTAACGTAAAAGAAGCATTTGGCTTAAGTGTAACTCGGGTGGAGGCTGGAGCAGGATTCCTTGGCTTGGGAGCTTGGCATCCTCTAGTGGCCAATTTTAGGAAATTTGGGAGCACGGTGCTCAACTGGCATAAATAAAACAGCTTTAGCGACTTCACCAGAACTACACCAATTTATGATTTGCTTAAGTGAGTAGTTCATCTTTTAATTAGCCTCAGACTTCACTCTCTACTGATCCTCTTTTTCTTGTATCCAAGGTCTCGCAGTGCGTGAGCCTTTACTGCACAGCCTTATGATGCAGGCACAAACTGAGTAAATCTCCATCTTCTCCATTGCCATCTATAAATACAGTCTGTATAGTCCAGTCCTACATTGGTCCAATCCTACCTGCAAAGTCAGTTATAAAAAATGGCCTTCAACATTTGTCACTGCAGATTTTCAGTCATGAAAATATTACTAGCCAAGGAGGAAATAAAAGCATGTCTTGTCCATAAGTACGTACATACTCATTTACAGACTACAAGAAGTCCTCTATAGTATCTGGCTGCCTGTGTAAATCGACTGGGATGGTCCCACATGATGCAAAGGAAGACGCGGCCGTATGGACAGCCTCCCTGTGGATGTCCCTATGCTTCTCCAATAAGAATATAGTAAAATTTATAACGAATGGAAACAATTAGCTAAAAAAGGCAAAACCTCATTAAGCAGACATAATAGCTGCTTGCAGAACTGTTTTTCTGAAATTTCTTTTCAGAGTAGGGGGACTAATATTTTTAATGAATCTCTGTGTAACCTGAAAATATGGCAAATGCCAGCCTAACATAATTCTGTGAGAAGTTATTGCACTCTCTGTGGTCTTTGCTGGTAATTATTTATATTATAAGGAAAGCTACTGATGAATTACTTAAAAATAAAAATCTGCAATATTAATGGTTAAGACCATTAGAATCGGATAGGAGTCAATGGGAATCTTCTTAAGGATAATGAGTTTTGTCTATGGCCTTTATATATAGATGATCGATTCTACTTTTCATCTTTGTCACCATCAGTTTGTATGGTGACATGAAATTAAATCTATACAAGAAAGCTATGATAACGGTACCAAGGCTTAATTTTCTTTATTTATTGCAACATTACTGTGCATGTTAGCCCTCAGAGAACTGAAATACAGCAGAAAATTTTTGGACAATATAAATGAATCTACTTTGAGTAAGTCTGCTGATGTAACTCTCTGTTTAGTTACATTAGCAGACTTCCCAGTATTGACCTGGTAAAAACTCAAGATAGAAATTGAGGTAGTTTCATTTTCTTACTCTCTTGCATTAGATAGTCTTCTTTTTGGTGTCCCATTCCACAACTGAGTGTTGCAATCTAAATTAAAAAAGGCTTTTCCTCCCCTTCCACAATCGTTTAAAGTACTTGAAATATTTCTTGATTTCAGGCCTGTTATTCTTTCTCCATTTCACCTTCTCAAAAATACAATTTAAGTTAATGGTTACATTTATCATGCTTTTTTACATAGGTAGGAATTTTATGTGATTGGTCTTTAACAGATTTTTTAATTATTACTTTTAGCTGATGGAAAATGCAGTTTATACTTTTGAGCAGTTGTTCTCTCCAAGTCGACAGGCAGACTCAGCAAAACTTGCAACAACCATTGAAAAAGTCAAGCTGAGAGTACTGAAGGTAAATGTAATGTAGTAGCATTTGCACGGGAAAACCTTGGGTTCTGCCTTTTTGGAAATGGAGAATATATTTTACGTGACTTTATCTCAGTATTTGAAAGAAGATACCTCTTACCGTCCAGCTGGAAATATTGATTTGGTGGCACTTCGCAAACCTGCTCATTTGGGGGGTAAAATCTAGTTCTGGGCAGACACTTGTAGAATTATTTACATGTGCAGTCCTTTGAACTGCAATTAAATCAGCTGGAGATGATGCTGTGGATCTGGGTAAACAATTTTTTATTAGCTTTATAATTAGCTGGCCCCTGGAATTCATTACTCTCGGAAGAGGCAGTGCTGAAACACCTGGAGAGAGCAATCAGGGGGCTGTTTCTAGTCTAGGTAGAAAAAAAAAGAAGGGAAGGAGATCCCAGAAAACTAGATTTTAGAGTATATTTGTAAAAGCTGGAATAGCCTGCATGGGAATTCAAACCCCCAAGTGCATCCGTGATGTGGTATCCTTTGGGATTCAGCCGTCACCAGTTACAGGATAACAAGAACCAGTTCCTCCTATGAGTGATTAATAACCCCAAATACGTTTGGGCTTGTTTCTCTTTTTGTCTGTTTTGACAGCAATATGATTATGACAGCAGCACTATCCGGAAGAAGATATTTCAAGAAGCACTGGTACAGATCACTTTGCCCACAATGCAAAAGACACTGGCTTCAACGTGCAAACCGGTAGGTTTCTCTGATTAAAAAAAAAAAACCCAATAATAAAGGCAGGGAAGGATTAACACCTTGGCAGTAAATCCTCAACTCTCTAAAGCTGTTTACTCTTGGGGAGTCATGCAGATTGGCTGCCTGCTTGGCCAAGTGACGCTTAGATTTGCCAGTTTGTGGACTGGGCAGATGTGGAGCATAAGGAAGATGTCAGGAAATGGGGAAACCGTATATACGGCTTGCATTCTCAAAGATAGTTGCAGACCTTTGCCCATCCCTGTTTCATTTCTTCCCTAGAGACCTGAAGTCCCCTCAAACTGGACTCCTCTTGACAGTTACGATTTTAGGTTATGAGCTTGTCCTTGTGTTCAGCAGCCCTGCTGCAGGCTGAAATTCAGGCCGTGGGAGAGAGCACTTTCCTCTTCAGCAGCACCCCGAGGCGCCGTGCCTCTGCTGGCGCCTTCCTTCAAAGCCCAATGCCTGCTTGGGCGGCAGGAGCGCAAGCAGACGGGCCGTGCACTTGCTTTCAGTTTTAAATGGACAGAATTGTGCCAACAATCAGGAAACAAACATACAGAGACATTCTCTGTTGCCCTTAATCATACAGGTAGGTTAGTACTCGGCAAATGCGTCTGCCAGAGTTTTGTGGCTACATCCGAGGCCGGTTGGAATGCTGTTCACCTTGGCTCAGAATAAATAGTCTTTATCCTTCTTGGACCCCATGCATTTCCTCTTGCATTTTTACTGTAGCTGCTGAAAGATGACTGCCCTAAGCCATCCCGGCCTCTCTGCCCTGTTGTTTCCCTTGATGTTCAGCAGTTCCCGGAGGCTGTAAGCTCTGAGCCACAGTGTGCTGCTCTTGCTAATCCTCTCCGGCTTGTTTCAGTTTCAAAGACAAGTTTTAAAACCAAGTGTTTTGCGAAGTTATGCTTGTGAATCTTTGACTGTGGATTATTACAGCTTTCAAAAATATATTTAAAATCACTGTCTTCTGTATGTCACTACTTCCGTTACTATCCCCAGAATAATAGTATCTCGTAGAGTGCCAGCAGGGCCTTCAAGACATGGTGTCTATGCACAGGAGGCAGCATTTCATCACCTTGAATATGTGCAGAGAGGGTGGAGTCCCACATCACGTCTCTGTCGTACAGGACGGAGGAAGCAGCGGTGATGCAAACTGCCCACAAGCCCTTTCTGTTTAATTTCCCACAAGCCTTTTGTGTTTGTGCCTCTGCAGAAATGAGCAGCCAGCTCTAGAAGCAATGTGTGGCACAGTTGACACGCCCAGTCAAGTCTTGACCTTCTGCTTGAAAGCCGCCAGATGTTTGTCTGTAGGCACCTCTTCTAGAAGTGGGCAGAGGTCACTTAATATCCTTTTTATAGACTATCAAGCAGCTGCCTAGTGATAATGACTCAGTGATTGTCTAGACAACCTATTGCGTATAAATCAGTAAGCTAAAAATGTTACACACGTATTAGAAAAACAAAACCAAATCCTGTTATCTCCCATGCTCACCGTGGATTTGCCTACCTGGCATGTGAGGTATTTCCTCACCAGTTATTTATTTCAGAATCGTTTATTATAGCGCAAGTGGCGATGATCTAAAGTGCTTTTAAATGTAATTGTAGTGCAAGAATACTGTTTGGTAAGTGCATAATAAATTGTGAACATACATAGTTCATTCAGTCACAGTTTAAATAGTTCACCTCAAGAGCCAGAGAGCAGCATTGCAAGACAGCTAGATGGCATCTCCAGGTGCTCTGTTGAAGTAGGACTCGCAGAATCTCTCGTTTTTATGTATCTGTTCTTTTCTTCTGTGTCTGCACAGGAGCTGCAGAAATACGAGCAGTTCATTTTTGCTGATTACACTAGCGTGATCCAAGTAGAGAATGTGTATGAAGAGATTTTATATCAGACACTGCTTGAAGAAACCCTGAAAGGTGAGAACATTCTTGAGGTGACAGTAATAACATTTGGGCTGTTGGCCCATGTGCTTTTGCTTCAGAGCTTCGCAGAGCTCTGGCTGTTTCAGGCCCAGGTCCCACTTTCCCGAAGACCTGTGGTTATGATGCTACAGTGTTTGGATTCAGCTCACTAAAGATATGTGGCAAGCCCTGAAATCTGAATTACCGTCCAACTGTCCTAAGCCTGGGAAACTCAAAGTGATAGCTTGGCACAAGACTATTTCTAACAAAATGTAATTATGCCAACTTCATTTTATCTTGATTCTCTGGGCCAAGGAGTGAAATTTTGCTCTTCTTTGCAAAGACTTGTCAATATGTAATGGCAGCAAAAATTAATTTCCTCAGATGAAATGTACTGCTGGTTGCAGTTTCAAGTACATCACTGACACCAGTGCAGTACTCCCTGCAAATCTCTGCTTTTGTGCTGTAAACTATTCTTGATGGCATATATAGGTACATAAAATACTTGTCTCTCTCTGGGTCTGTCTGTCTGTCTGCCTGTTTATACCCTGGTTAAAAGACAAGCTTCTGTATTGCACAGTAAGTTTTAATAGCTCCTCTTTCACCCTCCTGTTCAAAAATATCAGTAGAATAATTACTGTAAGGAGCACACTTTTATTTGTATATTCAGTGTAAATACTTCTGCATCGAAACATTACCTTTGTGCATTGTGGGTGCTCTGGTAGTTTTCTATTACCGCAATGCTTAGGTCAATATTGAAGTTCCATTATTCAAAACAGATAAAAACCCCACCCCCAAAAAAGAAATGTAAACTAACAGCAAGTTGAAAATAAAAATTACTGTTGTCTGTAAGATCAGAATGTACATTAGAAACTCAGGACAACACTGTACCTTCTTCAGTGTACCTCTGTCAGTCTTTCCAAAACATTTGATCTTTCTGTTTTGTTTAGTGATAAAAGAAGCTGCCATTATGAAGAAGCACAACCTCTTTGAAGATAACTTGAATTTACCCTGTGAAAGCGTGTCCAGCTTAACGGACCTGAAGACCCCTTCAGGATCAGCACAAACCACTCCCGCAAAGAAGCCTTCCACCGCCCGAGCCGAGACCTCAGACACTGAAACTCAAAGTGAGGAAACGCTCATTGTGACGGAAAAAATTTCTTGGGAGAAGGATGCTGATGATAGAAAGTCAGCAGGCAAAAAGGCAGTCACTTCTGTTAATACAGCTGGTGATCAGGCAAGCAAAAGTGAAGAAGTGGTCATTACAGACATCAGTGAAGTCCAGGAATCCCTTCCAGCTACCCTTACAAAACAAGAAGTTGCAGAGGGAAAAATAGTTTTGGAAAGTGAAGACATGGTGAAAGCCGAGCATATAGTGAACACTGAGGAAGAGCTTAAGGCACAACAAGAAGCTGTGGAGAAAGAAATAGCTCCTGGGACTGAAACCACAGTGAAGGATTTTGGAGCCAGCACTAAAAAAGAATTTAAGGTACATGAAGGATCAGTGGAGGAAAAGGTAATTTCTGAGAGTCAAACAGCAACGGGTGCTGCGATTGTCAGTGGCACTGAAAAAGAAAGCAAAGCACAGGAAGAAGTTGCTGAGATAAAGCTGACTTCCCCATATGATGCAGCAAAAGCAGGGATTTTAGGGAATGCTGAAAAGAAAATCAAGGTAGAAAAAGAATTATCTCAGAGTGAAAATGTAGTAGGGACAGGGTGTGAAGAGGATAGTAAAAAAGAAAGCAATGACCAAGGAGCGAGTACTGAGACAAGGGTTATTTCCCAGGATGAAAACACAGGGAAAGGAGAGTTTGGGGATAATCCTGAAAAAGAAAGCAAGTCAGAAGAGAGTTTTAAACCCCCTGATGATGTGAATGAGATAAGGAGTTTGCTGATGGTAACAGTTGAGATACCAGCAGGTACTCCAGCTGAGAACATAAAGGAGATTTGTGAAGGTGAGATCTTAAAGTTGCAGGAGCACAGTAAAGAGAATGATGAATTGAACAAAGTGGCTGCGGCAGAAATTCAAGTAAGCCAGACGATGATGAATAAAGATGCAGCAGAATGCGTGGAGTTCAAGGAGGACCAACCATCTTCATCTAGTTTGGGGACGTATGGTACGAATTTAGAGAATGCGTCCAAGGGGGCCTGCGATACGGCACAAGCTGAACGGCTGGTGGAAAGCTCAGATACGCCTCAGGAGGCGAAGGCAGGGGTGGGTACCAAGCAAAGCGCTTGGTACACAGAAGTGGGAAGCTGCGGAAGTGCTAGATTGCAGCCAGAGGAACGCACTGAAAATGTGTCTGAAGGCAAAAGATTAGACGGGGAGGAAGGAGGAGTGGGGAATAGCCATGCTGTCCCGGTGGAGGTGGGGACTGAGAGCTTTTTACATAATCGTGCTGAAAATGCAGACACAACACAAGTGCCAATTTTGGGTACAGAAAACCCAAGAACAGGACTGCTAGACATGCCAGTTTCTTCAGTGCTGGAGCAGGGCGAGTTTAGCGCCATAGAGGTCACAGGAGATGCAGCGGCTGGTGAGGGTGAAGGGAAGCCAGAAGATGAATCGTCTTCACACACACAAATAAAAAGCACAGAAGTAAAAGATATTTTCACAGAAGAAAACAGAGAAGACAGTTATGCACAGCAAAACTCTGAAGAGTAAGAAGCATTTTTCAGCCCAGCCCTGCAGGATTTATTTACTCCAGTCATCCCTGTTTAATTGTCAATACTTACTTGAGTCGGGGCTGGAGGCAATGGGCTTTGTTGTGGTATTACCAGCTCCTGCAGCTTTCTCACGGATCCCTTCCTGAGTGGAGGGTGATAGGTTTCTTTTTTGTCAAAGCCCTCACTCTTTAAAGCCAAGTTACTGTTGGAGCACCCCATCTTTCTCTTAAAATTTGCTACCTTCTGTGGTTATAGAGGAAGTCTGAAAATGTGACCACTGAACGCTTCAAAAGCAACTCGCCCTCAACGATAAAGTTATTTGAACAACTTAACAACTTAACTAAGAACAACTGTTCTTAGGTGTTTTAGCAGGGGAGTAGCTCATGATTTTTAAATGCATGGATTTGGAAAGTACTGCTATGATTCTTAGGTGGTTGGTATTTGAGGATGCTTTTAGTATTTGCATGCAGTATAAGGGAAATAAATAAAACTTTTAGTAGTTAGACAGAACTAAATAGTTAATTTAGTAGGTTGCTCAAGAGCCGCACTCTGCGCAAACTCTGCAAACTGATTACTTAATTATTTTAAAGTTTTGACAATATTAAAGACAAACGAGTGTTCTGATTTTTTTTTTTTTTCTCTTATTGCTATATTTAAAATGGGGAAAATATGGGAGCAGGTTTCTCAGTCCCACTCTGCACTTCTGGGTTATTTAGCCTTCCAGAGCACTTTATGGCTATTTTATTTTGTTTTATTTTATGGAAGGGAAAGATGAGAATGTTTACAATAACTATAACCATTAGGCAGCATCTTTCTGTTTTACTTCCCACCATAAAATATATTCACTTACAGCTACCTAATACAGAATATTACAAATCCTGCCATTCCCATCCTTACTGACTTAAGTTAGAGTTACCCAGTTCTGGAGGCCTTTTTAGGTGCATAAACTGTATCATAAATTGGAATCATTGTGAAATATCGTATCTAATACAGATATTAACTGAAGCAAAAAGGAGCCAAGGGTTATTCACATGTGCTTAGATTGTGGAGGGCAGAATCACAACTCAAAAGCAGTTATTACAATGAGACCTATTGCTTTCATAGCCAGCATATTATTATCCGTATCAAATTATGATCTATGCACAAGGTTGCTTATATGCATTATTTTCATGCACAATTTACAGACTGTACACAGAAGAGCTTGGAAGTGAAAAACAGTATTTGAATAAATGGGTCTATAGAGATCAAGACCTCACTTTAGAGGTCAGTTTAAGGCACCTTAAAAATTGGCCCTGCTGTTTCAGACTGTTTCTGGGTAAATGTAGCACAGGACAGGACAGCAAAGATTAATGATAAATACAATAAGGACTGCAGGATTTACGCCCATAAAGACATGGGAAGAAATAACAAAAGTCCCGAGAGCGTAATACTTGTTGGCATTTAACAAACTCTGTAAAGGCTATTACTTAATGCTATCAAATTATGCTATAATACTAACAGAGAATTGACACTAGAGGCGAATATTACTGCACAAGTAAGGAACGGTGTTGAGTAATTGGACCAACTGCAGCATCTCTGTTGTAACATAAATGCAGCTCCTATTTATTCTAGAAGCCACACTGTGGTATACACACATTAAGGTCACAGAGCTTTTCCTTGCAAAAGTACTTTCGACTCGTTTCCTCCTTGCGTTTCACGGAAAAATACTAATTTGTAAACACACAAACCACTGCCTGTTTTTTTACAATTAGTTATTTCACTGTCAGCTACTTTTTTTAACAAATCATTAGTTATTTCTAATTGGTACTGAATGTTAAGTGACTTCAAACGTGTGCTTTGAAGTTCATCGGCAGCAGTCTCTTTTCGCCGTGCTAAAATTAAGGGAGATGCCAGGTTTTAGTACGGTGTTTCGTATGAAAGCGGTCTGGCATGGCAGCGATGGTTACTGCCTGTGAAAAAGGCTGCAGCCTCCTACAAAAGCTGTTTACGGCCAATATGAATTAGATATATCTGTACAGAAAGTGTTTAGCATATACATTCCCCACGTCATCATTTTTTAATTATTTCTATGGCAGGCTTAGATCTGAGTAATATTTTCCTGTAATATTAAAGAATTGAGTTGGTTGTTTTTCCGAAGTAGGATGAGGAAGATTTAGCCCGTGCATCGCCTTGCTCTGCAATTTAAATTGAAGTTCCTCATGGCGAGGGGACGGATTTTTTGCCTTCGTGGATGTTTTCTGTACATTCAAGATGTTTGCGAATGAATAGAGAGTAGCATTTTTCTTGTTTTTAACCGGACTTGGGTAGAGGTGACAGCAAGTTAGAGGTCAGCAACCTGCAAGGTTACATTGGACCGCTGATCAAAAATTAGTAATAATCATCCACCCATTCAGTAATTTTTATTGCTTTCTTGGAATTTCCTACTCTTACCTGGAATTAATTATTTCTCCTGTAAACTGGGAACAATAATAAATCGCCTTTCATGGCCCGGAGGGTTGAGGGTTAGGCATGCTGCGGTGCCTTGAGCGGAGGGGGCCGGGGGACATTACCGCCGTTTTGTTTTATTTTACGGGGTTGACAGTTTTAAAGGACGGGATATGAAACACATTGTATCTTGCTTATAACTTTGTAAAAACGCTTGTCGTGAAAATAAAAGCAGCTCTTCCCTTCCATCGCCGCAAGGCCGGTTTTGTGTGTGTGTGTGATAATTTAATTTGGGATTTTTGTATTACAAAAACCGCACTTCAAGCGGCAGCCGGAGGCGAAGAGAAGGCGACGCTCGCCCGGCGCTCTCCCCGGCCGAAGGCCGCCCTTCGGGCACGCTTAGCCGCTTGGCGCCCGCCCG